TTTTACACTTCCTATCGAGGCGGAATTAAAAAAATTAAGATTTTACACTTCCTATCGAGGCGGAATTAAAAAAATTAAGATTTTACACTTCCTATCGAGGCGGAATTAAAAAAATTAAGATTTGTTTTGACTTCGGTTTAATTTTCTAATCAAACACAATATGACGTAGATTTTATTTTTTATTTTTAAAAAAAGAAACTGAAATAAAACATGACTTCCTCAAAATATATTTTGATCCCTAGTACACTCCTTTGATATAGATAACATAAGGTCGACTTTAAGGCTTTAACGCTGACCCTTGTATGGCTCTGTCCAGGTTTCTTTGAATTTTGCGCAAAACTACTCGAGGGCTATCCGCACTAGTCGTCCTTAATTTAGCAATGATAGGCTAGACGGAAGGCGTCTGGCTAATACTACCCACCGCCAACTCGTCTACTACTCTTTACCAACAACAAATGGGATTGACCGTTACATTATAATGCTTCCCCCGGCTGAAAGAGCGAGGATGCTAGGTGACGGGACAAGATTCCGCGACCCTTATATTGCGAGTCGAGCGCGCCCTAACCGCCAGCCCATCTCAGTTTTTTTATATTAGACTTTACGCAAAATTAATACTTAAATTTTTCACAGTTTAAGACATTAAATTGAAGTACTAGCCATCTGGGGGATCATTGGTAAGTCTGAAAAATCGAGTTTCGATACCAGCGTTGGGCATAGCACATACAGCCCATTGTTTAGTTTTGGGCTTAACAACAAACGAACAGACGGAAGTATCACCTAAAACTATCAGAGTAAATTGATCAAGGTGGTAACGTGACGAGTGGTAACGTTGATCAAGGTGGTAAGTGATAACGTGACGAGTGGTAACGTTGATCAAGGTGGTAAGTGGTAACGTTGATCAAGCCACCAAATATAATGCTCTTCTCTCGTCAGCCCCTCCTCCTCCTCTACGGTGGGTACAGGTAGGTTTGGAGACTTATGACGCTAAAATTCTGGGTTCGATTCCTGCGAGGTACACAGATACGCTTATCTTCCTAATTTATATACAATTCATTCCAAGTAGCCAGAGTAACTATTTGAAACAAGAAATACGAATTATGAAATATAGTGTAAATCCACAAAAGGAAATATATTATTAAAAACAAAATATAAATTCAACTGAATAAAAGAAAATATTAATATTTTGAGAAAAAAAATCTTAAAATGGAATGTGGTGCGTGCAACAATGAGAAAATATTCATAAAAGTCAAGACATATTTAGAGAGTAAAAAAAAAAATTCAAGTCGAGTCTTATTAACAAAGATAACAAGTGAAAAATAAGCTGATGAATGGAGTTCTATAATTTACAGTTTAGTAAAACGTCTAAAGTTGAGATATATTTTTAACAATTATGTTTTGTTTTCAGCATGAGTCATCATTCTTGAGTCAAGAAAGCAACGTCTTCGATTTTATGGTGTTGTTTACGCGACTCTGAAGCCGTGAACTGGTCTTTTAACAATCTGAAACTTGGAGATTTTTAACAATTATGTTTTGTTTTCAGCCTGAGCCATCATTCCTGGATCAAGAAAGCAATGTCTTCGATTTTGTGTGTTGTTTACGTAACTCCGAAGCCGTGAACTGGTCTTTTAACAATCTGAAACATGGAGCTCGGCTTATTTCCAGATTAAGAACCTTTTGAGTACGTTTTTCCTCCCCCCACCCCTACTGGATCTTATGAAGATCTGTGTGGTGGCTAGAACGTCATGCCTAGTTCTAGTAATCTTCCAGAAACCAAAGTGTGCTTTGTGGTGTTGCCCAAATTACCAACCCTTATGTCAGAGAAAAATACAATAACAACGTCTCAACGGTCAGAACATCGTGATAATGATGAACGCTTTACAGACTGTGAACTAAGTGATTTCAAGGGGGATTATTTCGAAATAGGACAGACTGAAATGGAATGCCCAATGAAAACTTTAGATCTAGATTTTTCAACTTTAAAAAACGTCACAGAAGTTTCGAAAATTCACTCGGCTCTGGATCCAGGATACGGAGACTTTCGTTCTTATTTCCATCATACGCAGTGGAGCCCAGATATTAAAGAGAATAAAGCAGCGAGCAAGAAACACATGATAGACAAATCAATAAAGAGTTTCCCAAATCAGAGGAGACAAAATGAACTCCAACAGAAATGTCGAAAGTTGAACCAAATGCGTTCGCAACAATCAGAAGCTTATTCAAACAATCCAGAGAAAGGGTTCGTAGTTATTTCCAAAGGAGGTACAACGAAACTGTTAATTAAGTCTAAAAAATGCGAGAACAAGCCAGTCCAGAGTAAAACAATATGTCGACGAAAGAGTGATAACTCAAACTCAGTTGATCCAAAGGAAGGTTCGGCTGTTGAAGGCGAATCATTGGTGTTTGTTTCGTCACCAGAAGATAACAAACAGTCCAAAATTTCTAGTCCAGAAAAAGATGGAAATACAAAAAAATTGTTCGGCAGTGATTCCAAGGAACCCATTTTTAGCTTTTTGCAATCGAACACTCCAACGCATACGGGTTTTTTAAATGCGTCATACAAATATAACGTTCCAAAAGAAGCTAGACAAAATACAGATTTGATAGCCATGTCAAAAGAGGCATGCGATCAGGATGGTCACTACCAGTTACAGAACGCAAAAGTTCTTCCGCAAAATAGGAAAAAAATATCACCATTATCGGTTTATACCACCATCTTTGATAATGTTATTTCCTCAGTAACATGCAAACGTTTCAAGAGGAAATCTAGTAAACGAAAAGTAGATAAAGATTGTAGTTTATTGTTCAAAAAGTTTCGCACTGATGTAGAAGGCCGAAACACGACAAACGAAACGAAGAAATGCCATCTAACGTCTCAATCCGCGAAGAGCAACGAGGAGGAAGTGGTTAAAGATATGATGAGTGATATAATTTACAGAGTGGTTCTCCTTACAGAAGAGGACATTAACTTCAGTAATCCATCTTCAAGAGAAATGTATCTTTTCACTGAATTCTGCAATAATTATGGGTTTGATGAAACTGAATTCTTAAATGTTCACCAGATTTTAAATCCTCAAATATTGTCACCAGAGGGAGATGACGCAGTTTCAGTTTCCACAGAAACTCTCTTTCAAAAGAAAAAACTCGTAAAAACAAGAAAATTTGGAAAATATAGGAGAAAAAGATTAACAAAGAGAGGGATAACTGGTTCCCAAATAAAGAAACAGCATTCAAGAAAATACAAATCGTACAAAAATGATAACGTACCAAATATTGTAACTAGCGATTTCATAAAGAACAATGCAGATAGTAGCAAACTTCGTTGTTTAAATACCACCGAAACAGTGTTCCAAGATTATTCGGGAAGTTCAACACTTCCAGTACACGTGAACAATACTAACCTGAAATCGGAGTGTCGTGGGTCGTTAAAGTCTTCAGAACGTCAAGAACCAGAAGGCTGTAGGTTTTCTTTAGAAAAGCAGCTCCACCGAAACGTCACTTTTTCTCATACTGATACGTCTAAAGAGCCGAGTACTACTTCGGAGAGTTCGGATAAACGGAACCCGAATGAAGCTAATTTTCAAAGAGGTTTTACTGCAACTTCGGACAACTGTTATACAACTGTAATCCCAAATTTACGAAATGCAGAAACTTCATGCCAAAATGATCCGAATTGTGCGCCACCGAATACGTTAGAAATGATCGCTTCTCGAGGGATATCGTTCAGACTTAACAATCGCCAGAGTGAGATGAAACTTTACCGAGATATTTTACCACGTGACAAAACGGCAATCAATACTGGTTGCATCGAGGAGGAAGTAAGAGCCGGTCACGCCGTTGACGTATCTCTGAATAGAGTAGGCACAGTTGAGGTTAATTTTAAGAATAACACAGAAATAAACACCGCAAAACACCCAACAGTGGGAAGCGAATCTTCACACGACGCTTCCATACCAGAAGGAATATTCGGGAATAAAAACGTGCAACAACTCTCACTGGAGTCTCAAGTTTATGAAGAAAAACAAAAAACGTCGTTAGAAAACAGTAAAAGTGAGAAGATTGCCAGCTATCGGCATGCGGCAAGTCACGCTACCAAGTACGAAGGTCTAAAAGAAAAAAAACTTGACAGCCACGTAACGGTAAAAAAGAGAGCGAGAAGAAATAATCTCACTGACAGTGAGCCATCTTCGAATGAAACCAAAGATCAACCGGAAGACAACATTCCACTAGGGCAACATTTGTTTAACACTGAATCTCCTCGCAACGTTCGTCTACGGTCAATGGATGATCAAGAAATAGTCTTGTCTGATAGCAACAGTGAGGATGGCACACCTTATATGACACGGACCACAAATAACTCTAGGTAAGTCCTATTTTATCTTGCAATGTTAATTAAAAAAAAAGAAGAAAATATTATTCTCTTAAAACCTATATAAGGATTACGCTGCCATGGTAATGAACACTTTTTACATGGGAGAGCTTGCAATGGACTTAGAATAAAGGATCAAGACATACTATTACCATGACAACTAATTAATTATTTTTACAATAGCAGAAAAGAAAAGGCTGTAGTTATGTATAATTAATTATTTTTACAATAGCAAAAACGAAAAGGCTGTGGTTATATATAATCTGTAAATGTATTTATAAAATTTAAAACTTGCATATTTTTTCCTCTTGTTGTACAGTTAGCGGACTTAAAACCCTAAGATTCGGAGTTCGATTTCCCATGGCTGAGAGATAGCCACTGATAGCCCGTTGTATAGCTTTTAATAATGATTTAAAAAAAAAAAACAATCCATGTTTGTTTTTATCTGGACGTGGCTCAGTTGTTTGCATACCAGACTATGGATCTACGGGTCCAATGTTCGTGTCCCGTCACTGCTAAAAAATCGCGCTCAGCACATTATTACTCCGGTTTCATTAGAAGAGTGACAGTCAGATTCTACTATTCAGTCAATAGTGGTGCTGTTGACATGCTGCCTTTCCGCTAGCAATTCATGACTAGATGTATCAGCCTCCTGGTAAGTCTGACGTCACAGATAGCCCTTAACTTAAGTAACTTTGTGCGAATATCTGAAAACAAAGAATCAAAAACACTTTTACATTAGTGTAAACATAAAGTAACATATTTCACCTTGATTATTAAAGTTTTGAACTATAAATCGTTACTAAAACGTTTGTTTGTTTGTAGTTAAACACAAAGCTACACAATGGGGGCTCTCTGTGCTCTGCCCACCACGTTAAAAAGCCGCTGACATGCCGCTGTGCCACTGGGAGGCTTAACAAAATAACTAGAATAATGCGAAGGTGATAAAATAAAGAAATTAGACATTTCGAGAAAAATCGCGTATAATAACTATGGTATTAATTTCTTTACGAGGTAACGTTTCGATCAAACGCTCTTATGACAATTACCGACAGGCTTGTTTCGTTTCTGGCATGAAAAATAGCGTTTGGTCGAATAGGCGCCAAGTAGATAAATTACTATCATGGTTTTTTACAGGCGACTTTTCTCGAAAAATCTAATATATTTATATGAGTGCACATATATTTCCTTGGACTAGTTTCAATGGACTAGCTGGTAAATATATTGGGAATTATTCTAAATTATTTAGGTTATTAGTAGTAAAGAAAGGATTTTAATATCGTACCTAGAAAACGTAAGAGTTTTGTTTTTACACACACACACACACACACACACACACACACACACACACACACACACACACACACACACACACACACACACACACACACACACACACACACACACACACACACACACACACACACACACACACACACACACACACACAC